CCGGGATTGAACCCGGCTGGAGTTTTGAGACTCTATGACCGCGGGTTCAATCCCGGCCGGTGGTATGGTCCTCTGAGTATGTTCCCATATTCTTCTTGAAATCATATATGGTTATATTACAATGCAATACGATATATACTGCTTGTGGAGGCTAGTACACCAAACGGGGAGTAGAATGAAATTAGCTCTGAGGCACCCAGATCTTCGTATGTCCTCGGATCACGGTAAAACACCTAACTCTGCTGGGTGCGTGATTTTTGTAGGATTGTATGGTCCCGTGGGTTAGAGCGTCGTGAAATTTTCGATCAATATGAGGAGGGCTAAAACAAAACGGGTTCGATCCCCCGTCTAGCCGCAGTGATGTTATTGATATACATATATACATATATATGTCGTGCCGAATACGTAAAACTGGTCAATTAACAAGAACTCATTTAAAATTAAGTCCTTTCTAAAAATTTTCTCTTATACCTTTAAAGACATATTTTTTCATTAATGTTAACGTAAAAATGTGTAATTTTGTACCAAAAGAATCTTAGAAAATTAACCTAACCTTATTATAACAAGAACAATTTATTTTAGCCTAACCCAACTACATATATTTTAGATTTGTTTACAATAACTTAATACTAAACAAACACAGTGAAATATATTTTTTCGTTAAGTTCAGAATGATTTTGGCGAAATTATTGCATACACAAATTTTCACTTGTCCTATATGGCAAGAAGAGCGTTGCTATTTAAGCCAAGATCGCAAGTTCTGCCTATTCGGCACGACATATATATATATATATATATATATATATATATATATATATATATATATATATATTTATATATATATATATATATATATATTATATATATATATATGTATGTATATATATATATATATATATATATATATATATATATATATATATATATATATATATATATATATAAATATTATATATATATATATATATATATATATATATATATATATATATGCAATAAGATCACAGTAAACAGGTGATTTTAAAATATGCAAAAACAACCACTCTGAATAGAATAGAGAAATTCCAAGCGCTTTCGTGACTACTCACATTATCAAGGAACTATGAAAGTGAAGCATCCAAGGAAGCTATATAAGGGGTCCGGCCAGCACCTCACTATCAGATCCCACAACGGTTAAACACGTGACGTGCGGCAAGCCAACTTGGATAGGTCCTTTGCACAACTCACCCCCAAGCTATTCTACCCAAGAAAATTTAAAAATTATTTGTCAGTGTATTATTAAATTCTTCCCAAATTCTATTAATTATAAATGGATCTAATTTAATAAACGAAGGAAATATTCATATTATTGTCAAAACTGCTTTTTTATGAAACAAGTATTCAATTATATTCCTGTCGACATGGACTTGCTTGATACTACTTTCTCAACTTTTTGAAAATCAATTGGATGGTTAAAATCTCTTACATGAATAAATAGAGCATTGGAATCTTGTCCAGCTCTAATGCTATATTTATGTTGTTTTAATCTTAGTTCGAGATTTTTACCAGTTTGACCGTAATAAACTTTATCGCAAATTTTACAAGGAATCTTATAGACACATCCATCAGCATTTTGGGGGGAATTCTTTATCAAAAGGTTTTTTACTGTATCAAGATTTTTGAATACAACTTTAATATTAAAAGTCTTAAGAAGAGAAGGCATATCAACCAAGTTTTCATGGTAAGGGAGAACCAACATATTTTTAGTTGAATAAGGCTGGTTGCCCCTTTTTGGATTATAAAAAGTGTTTCTAGCAACTTTAAAAGATTTATCAATTACATTTCTTGGGTATTTTAAATCATTACCCATTTCATAAATTTTGGATATTTCCTCATCTATGTACTCAGGACTACAAATTCGTAAAGCTCTCAAAAACATTGATGAGAAAACAGACAGTTTGACTCTATCTTGATGCGAGGAATAATAGTGGACATAGGAACAGTTATTTGTAGGTTTTCTGTAAATTTTAAATTTGAATTCATTATTACCCTTAATAATTAAAACATCTAGAAAAGGCAATGAGTTATTTTCTTCAAACTCAACAGTAAAGTTTATAGAATGGGCTAAGCTATTTAATTTTCCAAGAAAATTGTGTATATCTACATTTTTGGGCATAAGACAAAATATCATCAACATATCTGAACCATTTAGCTCTATTAGGGAGGATTGTGTTAAGCAACCTTGTTTCAAAAAAATTCCATGTATAGGTTACTAAGAACAGGTGAAAGAGGATTTCCCATTGCCATACCAAACTTCTGAGTGTAAAACTTATCATTAAATACAAATTTTGCATCAACAATGCAAAGTTTAATAAGTTTAATGATAGTAGAAACTGGCAATGGTAAATCATAGTTAACGAGTTCTTCAGATAAGAAACTTAATAAATCATCAACAGGAACTTTCGTAAACAAGGAAGTAACATCAAAACTAACCATGTTAAAATCATTTAAGTCAGTCAAGGAGCTTAATTTATCAACCAAGTCTATGTTGTTTTTAACATTAAAGTTAGAAATTTTGCCAACAATAGGGTTCAAAATATCAACAAGCCATTTGGATAATTTATATGAAACTGACCCTATGGAGCTAATAATTGGTCTGACTGGATTCCCTGGTTTGTGTGTTTTTATTAGTCCATACATGTAAGGTAAAGATGGATTAGTGGAAGTAAATTGTTTGACTAATTCATCTTTGCCTTTCAGTAGAAGTTTTATTGTTTTATTGAAATTGCTGTTAACGGTTTCTAGGGGATTTTTCCCAAGTTTAGAATAGGTTTCAGTATCATCTAAGAGATTATTCATTTTTTCTTGGTAATCATTTTCTTTCATAATTACTATTGCATTTATTTTGTCTGCTTTAGTAAGGCGCAAATTTTTATTGTTATTAAGTGTATCATAAGACTTAAAGAATCTTTGAGGGCAATTGGGAATGTTTGGTTTTAACATAGAGCTATATACCATTCCTTTACTAATATTAATTTCATCAGAGGATAAATCAGAAAATTTTTCAAAGTTACAAAAGGCTTTTGCAATTTCAACATTATTAATTTTTTTTGAAGTTGCAAAACTTAGGCCAAAACCTAGAGCAGCAGTTGTAGTTTGTCTAAAATTTCATCTGATAAGTTAATTACAAAATTGTTATTAGCATGCTTTGTCCAATCACTATTTTCAATTAAAATGTCTAATTTTCCTTGTAGTTTGCTCTTGAGTTCATTACAAATTCTTCTGAGTTTATTATAGCAATGATCCAACATACTGTGTTTCCATTCTGATGGAATGGCCTGATTAAAAGAGTATTTTTTGTTTCTCAATATTTTGAATGCTTCCTTCTCCTGTATTTGGAATTTCTCTATTCTTTCAGAGTGGTTGTTTTGCATATATATTTTATATATATATATATTATATATATATATATATATATATATATATATTATATATATAATATATATATATATATATATATATATATATAATATATATATACATGGCCTACATATATGCATGGCATCACATATTCGGTGATGTTTCGTGACGTTTTCTTGCAGTTCGTAAGACAAAGAAAACATTATTCGTTTAGCATTCTTTGTGATTAACCGTGTCATATGCTTGAACATTTTTTTAAAGCAATACACTTCCTCAGCTTCAGCTTAAGCTGTCCATTTTTCTCAGTTAAACAGCATACTGCGACTTAATCTGCATCGTCACTGGAAATAGGGTGCAACTGATTCCTTTTTTAACTGAGCATCGTCACTTTCGCATCTTGTACATGGAAGTTCCTTCCTATTCACTCAGCTCTCACTATTATCTTCCTGTTCAAGTAGACGCTTGTATCTAACACAGTCTATCATAACTTCCTTTGAGTGTTCATATTATGAAACAGAAAAACTTGCATCATTTTTAATAACCTCTGCAGTATTTTAAGGTGTTTAAAATCGTTATCTTAGCACTTAAGTTGAATTCTTTTAAAATGAATTAGTTTTTTTGTAGATTTCGAGATTACAACTGATGATTTCCTTTGTTAATGTTGACACAATAAACACAGAGCAAAATTTATATTCTCCAAGTGTTTGCGTTAGAACGATGATGGTTGATGTGTCTTCATTACGCCGTCTATACCTTCAGTCGAATAGTTGCACCTGAAGCAGCGAAAGAAAGTCAGTGGAACAAACAATGCTTAGTATAACATTAGTGTTGTACACAAACAACCTGCTCTTAGGGGACTGGCGCTTTGGTCTGACTTAGACCATTAACATGTCATACAGAGAAGCAAGAAGGGAAGGGTACATATATACATATATATATATATATATATATATATATATATATATATATATATATATATAATATATATATATATATATATATATATATATATATATATATATATGAGACGGGAGCGGGGAAGGGAGTAGTAGAACGAGTGGAGGAAGTAGTAATAGTAATAGTAGTGGTAGTAGTAGTAGTTGTGGTGGTAATAGTAGTTATTGTTGGGGTAGTAGTAATAGTAGTAGTAGTAGTAGTAGTAGTAGCACTAGTAGTACTGAAAAAAAGAGGTAAGGAGAGGAGGAGAGAAAGGTTAGGTTAAGTCATGGATGTTCTCAAGGTGTCAAATAATCAACACTCATGACTTAGCCTGACATTTTTCTCCTCTTCCTGCCATTTAGCCTTTCGTATATTTCCATTACCTTTCCTGTCTTCTGCCTAAGTGGGTTCTGTCCTGTAGAAGTTTTATCCTGCAGATTTGTCCTACCCCGGGGGTTCTTCTGCTTGTTCTTCATTTTGTGCAACTGGAAATTAAAGAAACCATAATCAGCCTTTGTTGAAACCGTTTTAATCATAAATAGCTTATGATAGTGACACACTGTTGGCGATCTCACCATATAACTCAGAGTAGTGTACAAGCACACTGAGCTTGTATTAAATTATGATAAATATAAAAATTGCACATTTCTCTGTCCTCACAGCTACGACTCTCGCAAGCACAGTCTTCTGGATGCAAGGAACTGGGCTGACGGAAAGACCTTAAGCGGCCGAGGACATTTCGACCTGCAGTCCTCGCCGGCTTCTCTAATTCTGGACAATGTTCGGGCCACTGACGAAGGCCTCTATCGATGCCGCGTCGACTTCAAGAAGAGCCCCACGAGGAACGCTAGAACCCACCTCACAGTCATCAGTAAGTTTCTACGTTATTCGACGTACTCTTGAAATTATTTATCAAGATATTTGTGCACTTCATGAATATAATTGTAACCCCACTCCATCATTACCCCACAAACTAACCGTAAGCCCGTGGTAACTCTAGTGATCTCAGAAACTAACTGTAAGCCCATGGTAACTATAGTGATCTCACAAACTCCACTATATTATTTTCCAGATCCGTTTGCATTGTTGTTAGATAAACGTGTTTGTTCTTTTGTTATATGGGTTTGTTCTTTTGTTATATGGGTTTGTATCTTTTGTTAACTTGAATATTCGATTAAATATCAGGTTTTGTCTACGTAAAATTAAATGATATGATATAATACATTAAATAATAATGTAGTGATAACAACACAAGAATAGATTTGCTCCTTAAGTGACAACTAGGAAATTAGCCTCCAGTTATATACTTATCTTACGACTAACTGAGTGTTTTTCTCCATTTGGCAGTTCCTCCACTCGATCCTCTCATTCTAGAGAAACCGGGAGGATCTCAGGTGTGGACTATGGTGGGTCCTTACAACGAGGGAGAGTCTATGTCACTCACTTGTGAAGTCAGTGGAGGCGAGTGTCAATTTGTTTTCCAATCTATCTCTTTTTCTCTCTCTCTCTTTATTTATTAAAGGTTTTTCACAGAGTTGGGTTATGAGCTCCTACCTTTATTTACAAGCTATGAGCTGTTGCCTACCTCAACCTGTTTGAAAACCTTTCTTATTATAATGAAACAGACAGATAGGGAACAGGATGAAGTTATAGCCATCTAAGGGCCAGTGATTTCATTTGGTTAACTGATGTCATTTCATCGGTGTTATTATGCTGTACGAACATGTTCCAGACACGCGTCATACTATCAATGAATGATCTCATATGAAGCGATGTTCTCGAGAAGGGTTCAGAGTGTGGTTGCTGTTTGCTGCCCGGCTTGTTGTATAAAAGCTGTCTTCTCGCTATCCGCGAAGTGGAGCCATGTTTGGTACCTTGACAGTTTTTTATTACATAAAAATTGGATACATCAGCAGTGTTCTGCAATCCGATTGTACATGATAATTGCACAGATGGAACAAAAGCTAGCTATGTTTCTCTGTCACATTCATTCATGCAGGATTAGGCTCATACAACGTGCTGAAATCTGTAAGCCTTAGCTGAGAGACTTTAGTGGGACAGTGAGGATATCATCAAGCATTCAGCAAGGATTCATGAACTACAGGATTTCTCCAGTACGGTCATATACATAACAGTAACACCACCTTCATCTCTTCTGTGTTGAAGGCTCTGCTGGAATGACAGATCTGTCCAGACCGGGTCCAGGTGGGAGATGATTCCTCTTGCTCACTTCTCTATTCTCTCCAGATGTTGTAGATGGGACGGAGGATAAGCAATCCAAGAGAGTGGAACATACTCATTGTGACAGTGCCTCTAACAGAGTTTGGAACCTCTGCTGTCGAGCAGGGACCATCTTTATATGCTTTTATCTGAAAAACAAATGCAACCTGCCATTATCTTTCACAGGCTCTTATGGCTGAAACCTGGTGATTGATGTCCTTGAGAACAGCCGACATTGTCTCTCCCGGATAAGGAAATGTCAGAGTACAGTCATCTGCATATGAATAGGATTCTGGGATGAAGTGAAGATGGTCACTGAAGCAGACATTCCATAACAACAAACTAGGCACATCTTGTTGACAATGTGCCACTAAGAACTACTCTTAGAGATCTACCACGAAAATAATCCCTAAGGAGGTGTAGTAGAGAAGCAGTACAGTGCCACACTACGTTGAAAGCATCAGAAATGTCCAGTGCTACTACACAGCTGATCTTGAATTCATCCAGTGGATGGTACCACATAGTGAAGTGGTTTAACAGCAGATCAGCAGCATAGTGACCTTTTCTGAAGACATATTAGCGGTCAAAATGAAGAGAGTGGTACGCGATAAAAAAAAGATATAATCTACCCTAGGATTATTGTTGAATGAATCTTGCCAGTGACAGATATGTAGATATTTATACATGCAAAACAATCTCAGACAGGCGATCGGGGGGTAATAGACAAGCCACGGGAGATAGAAATCTTTAGCTCAAGTACTTTCACACTTCTTAATGTGTCATTAGGAGCAGTGCAATGTTGTAAGGGCAGCAACAGGAGAAACAGGGTAAGCTTTTCAGAGTACGGTAGCGCGGTGGTACCAGCCAATATCTGACTGAGGGAGAGAGGCCCAGCGGAATGCCAACCACACACTGGTCCCCAACTCCCCACCCCATATGGGGTCGGGTGAAGTATGCCCGGGGGGGGGGTTAGCGAAATTGTGCCAAAGTTTAAGCCTTTACAGGTAATATCATTCTGGAATAACACTGGGTGTAGTATGGTGTGTGGAGTGACAGGGTGTCAGAACACTTTTGTCTGGTGTAGTCATTTTTATGTAAAGGAAAATTGGGGATTTGTGATTTAACTCATTTTGTGCGCCTTTTTAGTATAATTTCCACCTTGTATTGTAATGTTTTAAACAAAATATAAAAAAAGAAATATGCCCCACAATTTGCAGATAGCATCAGGTAAAATAACTAGGAGATAGTAATATCCAGCCCTACGATTCTAACTGCTGGGAACAGGTCATGTGACGCAAAAAGTTACAATACAATAGTGGACCATTTACTTACAGAATGTAGATAATGTGAACAACGTTCTAACTAAATGAATAGGAGGAATAAATCCCTCATTTTATCAGCCGGTAATACCCGATGTTCCAGAACGTTCTAGAATATTCAGGAAATACTCTCAATGTCAATTAATATGCTTGTGTGAATTCTCCTATTCTGCTACTATCATTATTATTATCATTTTCATTATAATATTACTAATCTAATTCAGTAAACCACTAAACTAGCTGTAATCACCATGTTGCAATCAACTATGTGTACCTTGTACAGCTGTACGTAAACGGGTTAAGACCTCAATAGGTCACTGCACCCATACCCAAATGAACCCCCATGACTACTTCCTTACTACTGTAGAGGTGTGCTGCTTGTGGAGGCTAGTATATATATATATATATATATATATATATATATATATATATATATATATATATATATATATATATATATATATATATATATATATATGTATATTAGTTAGTTTGTCTTGTTCATATTTTGTGTTGTCTACTGATAGGTAAGCCACCTCCACGAGTGACGTGGTGGACAAATGGAGAGATGATTGATGACACTGATGAGTCTCCGCGTGCACACACTGTCACCAACACACTCACGCTGGCCAGACTGACTCGTGCGCACCTTCATACCATCATAGTGTGTAGAGCTTCCAATAGCAACCACACCGCTCCTGTCCAGACCTCCGTCACTATAGAGATGAACTGTGAGTGCCATTCATTATTATTAAAATTAATTTCAGGCATTAATATCATGCTGATTCGAGCCAGTTGTCGCCTTTCTGGAGTAAGACACACTAGAACTGTGTTAATTTCGTGGATAATGTGACTAGTTGTATAGTTATGTGTATCTTGGAGTTCCTCTGGGAACAAGAAATTACATGTATTAGATTTTATTTTGGTGTATACTTTATTGAAGTATTTTTTTAATATACTGCTTTATCATTAATTAATAATGAAAGCATTTTTATGAATGATATTAATTCTAAATTTAATAATGATATTATTATTATTATTATTATTATTATTATTATTATTATTATTATTATTATTATTATTATTATTATTATTATTATTATTACCACAATTATTATTATTATTTTACTTTTTTATTTTTTCATTGTATAGATTAATAATTATAATTTGTCTTGTACTTCTTCGTCTTTATCTACTTTGTCTTGCTCTTCGTCTTCTTCTTAGCAGTGGTAGTACTAGTAGCATTAGTAGTATTACTAAATAGTAATTGAGATAATAATAATATTAATAACTGCAATAAAGCTGACAAACTTAGTTTTCCCCAGACCAGTACTCTTAGCAGTAATATTATTTATACTGTTACAATTACTGATGCTTCCAATTCCTACTTCATTTTCTGGGTAAGATAAAGTATAAAATACCGACACGTAGAAGGTAGAAGTGAGGTAGAGGTGAGGTAAAGGTGAGGTGCAGAGAGATGACCAGTAAAGGAATGAGGCATTTTGGAGTCTTTCCGGCTGGCATGGGCCAGTAGGCCTGTTGAATTGTTCCTAAACTCTTACTAGTAGGTGATCTCAGGTGTCTTGTTGATGAAGAATTAATTTAGCTATGTCCTCTTAAGTAATAAAACTGCCAACGTTCTGGGAAGCAGTACTGGTGGTTGAAAGCAAAAAACTTTACAGATATCGTCGTTACTTTTAGTTCTTCCCTGGTGACGGACTTGGCTTCGTTAAGATTCACATGATGGTTGTGAGTATTTCGATAGATTACGTAGGCATTGTATTGGTAATCTCTACTTCATGCATCCCGGTGTATGTAACAGCTTATAGAGGTTTAATCAACGTAAAATTTCTCGCAACCGCCGCAAGGGATCATAAGTTTTATTAATTACTTAATCTTTTTCTCATTGTTTGTGTCATACTGCCCATCTTACTGTTGCTGCTAGCAAGTGTGCTGGTGACGTTGGTAGCTGCTTCAACGTCTACTAGAACAAAGAATCTAGCAGACGAGCATTCCTGCCTAGTAGAGTGAATAATTCACAATGCTTTAATTCTGCAGTCACTATTAAACTGAGGCGGAAAGTGAAGCTGGATTAACACTTGATAAATGTAAGCTCCGTCATCTTTGAGTAAGGCAGGGCTGGATAATTTGTCTGCTGCCTCGTAATAAAACCAAGCAATGCTCACCCATTTCTTGGTCCTGGAGTAGTGGAACGAACAAATAATGTAACAATTAGTTTTTATTAGATTGTTTGGTGTTAACTGAAGAAATTAATACAAAAGTAACTCATATATCGCCTATTCGACTCAACCTATACAGGAACGTCATGCAAATAAAGGGCCCTAAAATTTGGAACTCCTTTCTAGAAGATGCGAAAGTTCCCCTTCAGCCACCTGCCTTAAAAATATAGTCAGAAAACACTTCCTAAATCTGACTTAAACTTTTCTTAGACAAATCATATTTAATCTTGATGTGCCAATAGCAACCCTGTTGATCCAAATCATATTAGAATCCATAGTCATGTATACACTATCACCAACCTTTCTCAACATTTGTATTAACCACGTACATAATCTACTTCAATATTCCCCGATATAGATTTCCTACCAAATTGTTATACAAGATAACTTATATTCCAAGTTGCCTCAGAATTTAAATGTCAAATATGGTAAACTGTAGCATTCTAGTACACTACTTAATTTGTCGCAATATCTAGTAATTATGGAGATAAATAGTGTGTAGAATGTTGTCTTTCCTAACGACGAGTCTTGCGTCATTGTAGTCGTGGAAGGTACGATGTAAAACAGCAATAGTCAAGCAGAATAGACGATTTGAGAAATTCCTGTTTTACACCGAACCTTCTACAACCATATAATCAACTACAGAAACCCAAGACTCATCACCAGTGTAAAGGACACTCAGTGGTGCATGATTTTAGAATCATCATTAATTTGTATATATAAAAGATTCAACCCGAACAACAGCTTCAACAACATAGCTGAACTCCTTGCCAGGAAAGGTCTTCATCGTTATCCTACATAACAACATACCTACTTGCCTATCCCATGTAGGTCCTTCTCAAATCCAAGCTCTTCTGAGCATTCCCCACCTGACTTCATGTTATTTTGTTATGAATATATACTCATGTACTTTCTGCTCAGATAGATCTGTTTGTCACGTAATAAAACCCACTGTGTGGTTGGAACTTAGTCAATAAAAGCTCACATTAAACTACACTTGTGTCTATTTTTCCATCCGTTTAGTAATTATAAATTAATGTTAAATCTGCGAGAAATGCTCTGCATAACAACGGTTTTTCCAATAAAAAAAGTTTATACATGTCAATTACTTCAAAGTTATTGTACATGGCACTCCATTATACACCTCAGTGATGTAGATAAGTGATATAAATACCGACATGATGGAAAAAATGACACAAATGCAGTATAATATGATACTTTTTTTTTCACTTTAGTGATGTCTCTTCTTATTGTACGTCTTTCATGAGAGTTAAGGTTCTTAATCTATCCTCATATGAGAGATTCCAAATTCAGGGATTAATTTTGTCCTCCTTCACGTTCACCATCATTGCCACTATCACTGTCCAGCCAGAGGCGCGCAGATACGACAGTTTAGATGTCCCTCCAAACAGCAAATATCCTAAACCCTTCGTATCACTTGCAATTCCTAAATCAATAGTTATTAATGTAAACAATGGGCCTAAAAGTGAGCCTTGCAGAGCACCACTTGCAACCGGTCCCCATTCAGACTTGACCTCATGAATGCAAACTGTTTTCTATTGGTCAGCCATGCATCGATCCATATTAAAGCTTTACCTCCTATACCATGAGCTGCCACTATCGAAGGCCATATTGAAATCCAAATAAATAACATCATATACTTTTTCGTTGTGCACTGCCTTAAATGCTTTATTAAAGAACGTCAGTAACTTTGTCAGGCAGGAACGGCCTCTAGTGAATCCGTGCTGAGACACATTAATCAAATCATGCTCATTAAGGTTGTTTCTAATAATATCAGCTATAATTGATTCTAATAATTTGCCTACTATTGATATCAAGATTATTACACCAGTATTATTTCTCTGGTGGGGCGAATAATAGTCTTCTGAGGCGAGCCTTAGCTATATTGGGTTCTGGTACAGACAGTGTGTTCTGTCGAGTCCTAGCCATGCACCCAGCCTGGCAAGAGGGAGTTGAAGAGACAGGTGTTGTCTATAAACTGTCTGGCACAATACCGAGGCAGATGTAGGGTCTCATTAAGTAATTTCTAGGTACGCCGCTGCCCGCAAGATGGCAGCACCTGCCTAGTGGCTTTACTCGAAGTATAAAACTCTCGGTGGCACATCGCTCGGGCTCACAACCCAAGTCAACAGGACCATGACAAATGACTAAATAAAACTTTTTCTTTTAGGAACAGGGCACTGGCGCTGGCGCTAGCTAGCTAGTTGGGTGTGCTGAAACATGGCAATTATATAACAGTGAGTCATGGTAGGGCGTCAATGCATATAGAAACACTTGCAGGAGGAAACACGCATCCCATGAACGTGGCAACACGTCAGTAGATATCACTGTAGCTGACCTACGTTACTGGGGCGGTAAAGCAAAGCAGTCATCACAGGGTAGTCACTGTTTACTCATCTTGTTTACTCATCTTGGGGCACGACCTGGTGGTACTGGCAAGTGAGCTGTCGTGGCAACTAGGCATCTGGACTGGACTGCAGGTCGTGCGACTCTTCTAAAGAGCTTTCGACTGGTAGTGTGCCAGGGCAGTCACAGCAGGGAACTCCAGCGCAGCACGAGAGGGTGAGTCGCAAGGACGACTCAGACGAAGATGCGGGTAGGCGATAGTTTTCAGAGAACAACTGTGTGTGTATGTGTGTGAGTCGTAGGCGAGACAACTGCGTGAGGGATTCAGGAACGACTCTGCGTTTGTGGGAGTCGTAGGCAAGGACGAGTGACTGCATGTTTCATACGTCAGCGAGATGCGACGAGCATAGCTTCTCTCAGTACACGGTGCTCAGACGACTCACGTTCTGATGTCAGGACTCACTAGAGTCATTGGGCAAGGAGTCACATCAGGGAGTGTCATGTAACACTGAGGGATGTGTTAGATTGGTCAGGACGCAGACCACACCTAGAAACATACAAAACTAGCACACCCGCAACGAACATATGGTATTATGATTACAACATTCTAAACATTACTGAAAAACAAATAAACTGTTCACTTTGAAACTGCAAATAAACACTGGCTTGACGTCGTGAGATGGCGTCAAGGCACACGCCGTAAGGTGACGAAATGAGGTGACGTCATGGTGTGACATCATGAAGTGATATCGTGAGATGACGTCATGAAGCAGAGATAACAACAAACAGACGCAGAACTGTTGAATAGTGCAAGATGAAAAACTTGATAGCGTAGGTGTGTGCGTGTGTAGGCCGCTGAGGCAGGCTGCACCAGGACACATGCAGGGCTGCACCAGGACACATATGCAGGGCTGCGTCAGGACACATATGCAGGGCTGCGTCAGGACAAATGTAAGGCTGCACCAGGACACATATGCAGGGCTGCGTCAGGACACATGCAGGGCAGTAACAGGCAGGATAACACCCCAAAACTCACCTCAGGTTACCTAATTAGTCTGTGGTTTGGCATCGGGCTTGAACATCTTTTTGCCATGAATATCAAGTGGGTTGGACATCGCATGGTTTGGAGATCCACGGGGTTGGTGTCAACATACTTAAAAAATCCTGAGCCCTAGTAGCCTTTTCCCTTTGGTATCTAAAAGGGCCGGGTAAGGAGGGGAGTGGTTTGAGCACTCCAATACACAGTCTGGCCAGGAACATGCAAAATTTTCCATGAGTGGGTGGGTGATGGTGGTGTTTTTACAGGTACGG